ATGTGTAAGTACTTAGAAGCTCAATCCAGTGGCATTTCAGTGTGACCAAGTTCTTGAATAACTTTATGTTAGTCTTCTTTAGTGAGTAACATGTTTGGGTATTATTCCAAAATTTCGGTTTTTCGGTTTAACCCAAAACCAAAACACCAAAATCGTAAGCCGCACAAAAAAATCGAAATTTAATAATTTAAAAACCGCATACCGACCGAATAACCGTTTAAACCGAAACCGAAAAACGAAAATTCACGGTTCAGCCGGTATTATGCCCACCCCTAGCTAAAAGGGCAAAATACGGATCACACAATATTGAGTGTGGCCGCAGAACATGAGGCAACCTCTGTCAGTTTTCCTTTACAAAGTGCGGACCGCATAATTCTAGTGCGGCCGCAGAAGATGAAGTTCAGAGAGATGGACTTTTTGGCCATGAAGAAGTGCGGACAGTGCAATAATTGTGCGGCCGCAAAATCAAGAGCGCGACCGCACTCAGAAATGTGCGGTTCGCAGAAGTCCCCCATGCCAAAGCCCAAGATCAAAAAATGCGGACCGCATCATTATTGTGCGGCCGCAGAATTAAGAGTCCGGCCGCATTCAGAAATGTGCGGTCCGTAGAAGTTGAAGAAGTGCGGCCGCAACACAGAATTGTGCGGCCGCGCCAACCTGTCAAAGCAAGTTTCAAAGTGCAGAACACACACAGAATTGTGCGGCCGCATAACCTTCGCAAGGGCAATTTTTTCCGACAATTTTAGCTGGGTAAATAGATCTTTTTGTCATTTTTAGGTTAAGTTTTGTGCACATGAGAATATATAGCCGTTTTTCTTTACTGTATTGGGTAACTTTGTAGTATTTTAATATTTTAACATTAGATTTTCTTCCTTTAATCATCTATGATGAACTTTATCTTGGTTTCTTCTTTGATTTCTCTATTTTCCATGAGTAGCTAAATTTCTAGCTAGGGTTGTGGCCCAACCCTAGTGTGGGTACTTAATGGGTGTTTGATTTAGGGCTTGTTTGTGATTGGGTTAGTGATATTTAGCCTAGTTCTTGCTTGAATTTTAGAATTGATGGTTGCAAACATTGATTCATGCCTAATTGACTTATTCTCTACTTGAGAAAGAGAGACTAAATCTAGGAAAACTTGGCTAACAAGGAATTGGGGTGAACTCAAGAAATTGATAGCCCCAGTTAAAGGGTTGAATCTAGAGATAGTAAGACCCGACTCGAGCATTTATCACTTGTTTTGTGCAATACCCATTTGGACTTGAAAAAGCCAAATTCGGCAAAATAACTCTAACTACCAAGAGGTATTGAGTGGGTAATTGTAGTGTGATTGCTATATTACAACCCCGACCAAACAAACTTGACCTAGAGCCTACAATCCATTAAGTTAACACCTAGGTGGAAGTCACGACCCTAGATCTTTTATAAACTTGAAAAACAACAATACCAAAAATATTGTCTCTTAGCTTTTCAATTACAAGCATTAGCATACAAACTAGAAGTAGAAAAGAAACAACTGAATATGTTGGAAGTGAAATCTTGTGCACGTCATACACTAAACTAGGTATATACCTAATCTCCCATAAAGCTCTCTATGGAATCGGCCCCGACTCGCGTTGGGTATTTATAATTGCATCGACCGCCTCACAATCCCATTAGTGGTGTGAGTTTGGGCGACATCAAGACTGACGCTTCGATCAAGCTCGAAGTATAACGGGAAAAGAAGCCCAAGAGGCAAGTTCCAAAAAGGCTACAACCAAATTAACACGGCTCGGAGACGTCCGAATCCCGTAACAAAACAGGCCTTCGAGTTCTTCACAACCGGTTCTAAAAGGCTACCCTCGGCAGAATCCTAATACTTAAGATATTTTCAAAAAAAAAAAAACATCTTAATGCTCGAACTCCTATAATGCCTTAATCAGAAAGGCAGTAAAAGCGAGGTTTTGTTCGAACCCTCGAACACGACTTCATTATTTCATGCTAAGGCATAACAAGATTTGCGAACATAAATGACAAATCAAAGGAAAAAATTCTTGAAAGCCAAAAAGGGTTAGAAAACCTTACATATATTAAAACGATCGTTCTACAAAGGCCAGATCGGCCAAATACAAAAGCCTAAGGGCTACTGTCACTTCGAGTTCGAAATATCACTCTTACTCGACTACTAAGCTTAAGGGCTACTGCAACTCGAGTTCGAATAAATTCTCACTCGGGGACTACTCTTCGGGCCTAAGGGCCACTTGATTTCGAGTTCGAGATAACATTCTCAATCGAACATCAAACTCAAAGATTACCTTATTCCGAGTCCAGATAAATGTTTTCACTCGGCTCTGATTTATCGGAAACTGCCTCAAGACAAGTTCGAATGTCCGACCTGGGACCGTTGAATACAACCATATAACTTTGTACTAAGGTACTTTGACACTTACATAAAATAACTAAAGGACAACGGATTCGGGTATAAAAGTTTTTATATATTGACAAGCTTCTGCCGTATAGAAAAACAAGGCTCGTACTCTGTCAAATTATAGTATAGTTTATGATATCGTCCCACAGAGATTGGAAGATCTATGCTACAGATTTATGGTATTTTAGCTACTATCTGAGAGAATCAAATTGATGAAACAAGAGTAGGATTTTAGAATTATAAATTTACTTAAACATATCAAACAACTTCCGAAAGATTTATATTTAAAAAGAGTTGGAAATCATTAAATTCACTTGATAATGTTATTATAAAACTATTTCAGTCTCACATATATTTCGCCGCAGAATAATTGCTTATTGCGAATACAATTATATTTACTCACTCAAAACAATCAATTAAAATCACTCTGTGAGGTTATAAATATTAATTAATTGATATCTAGTGACAGTAAAAACTGAAATAATGTTCTTGCCTGAATTGTACTAAAATTAGTGAAAACCTCTTGAGATTATTTTCACCGAGTCATTAATCTTAATTGAGTCAATCCTTTCTTGAGAATTAGAATTGAAAGAAATAAGATAAAAATTTTTGAATCTGTCGCCTTGCTTGAGTCAATTCCTCCTTGAGGATTAGACTTGAAAGAAGCAAGATTGAAGACTCGGAATAACAGATTGTAACAAATTACTATCACTCTATTTTATTAAAATAATTATATGATGTATTAATTTTGCTTCGTGAGAATTACAAAATTTATACAAGAATAATTAAGTGATAAAATAGATGAATGTGACAATAATAACTACAATCTATCATTCTAGTACATAATAGATTTGAAATAGAAATTTTCATGACAAGCACGTATGAAACTGAAATTGAAATTATAATAATATATCAAGCTTCATCAACTATCCCAACAAAAAGAAATTACTCCATAAAGAAGTATTTAATTTTTACAAAGACGAGAAAGAAGAACTCTTGAAAGAGTATTATTTTTACTTGCAAAATAAAAGACTAGAAGAAAACTCAAGTGAAAGAGAGTGAGAGACCAAAATAACAATGTCTACTCCTTGATACTTGATATTTTCTCTTAAGCGTTGCTAGCGTATTATAGGATTGTAGGTCTAGATGGATCTTGAGTTAAGGCCTAGATGAATCTTGAGTTAAGGCCTTGATGAATCCTGGCTTCATTTCTCCTCTTCTTTTTTTTTTTTTTGATTCTTTGTCGTGTTCCACATATGCATCGAGCCTTTTCTCCTCTTTTCTTCATTCCATTATTTTTTTTCTCTAAAGTTCGATATTTTGTCTTCATCTATGATAATTCTTCTTCCTACAATACTTGTAGAAAATATGAGTTTTGAGCATAATGTTTATTTATATAAAAAAAATATATTATTAGCTATGAAAAATATATGAATAATTTTTATGCATCAAATTCCCTCATACTTAAATATTTGTTCGTCCTCGAATACACAAAGACAAATAACATTGTTAAAACACCTGAAGGAAGATCATAACAACTTTGGGTAGATAAAATTCAACTAAGACCAATCCATAAATTTAAACAACCTTTAATCACACTCATGTTCACCTATTACAAATTGAAATCATAATATTTTCTAGTCCCAAATGTCTCTCCCTAATGAAGTAAGATGCCCACAGTATATATCATTATAGAATAAAGAAGGGCATACAAAAAATAAAAAACTCTCACTCTCAGCAAAGAAGTATCTCATGTTACCATAAATTGCCATAAGCTTGACTATAATCTGATTATCCACTGATATAGAAGATCTTGAGTCGAGATCAAGTAGAACTTTATAAGGTTATAATGTAGGCATAGTTATGGGTATGATATATATGAATAAGAGTGACCTATGTCCCTTATAGGCACTATATTTATATTAGAACTTAAGCACAACGACCTTCCGTTTAATATAATCGACCTCCCCTCTTTCCCTTTTTCTTTTTTTTCCAACGTTTCTCCTTTTGTTTCCCTTTCACATTATTTATTTTCTTGAAACTGGATTTCAAGAGCAACACTTTGTTTTTCACATAAAAATATTTTAGCTTAAATCAGAAAGCTCACCCTTATCGCCTCTTTCTTCCACAATTATTCTTCCCACTTATGTTTTTCATCTAATTCAACTTTTTAAGTGCCAGAAAGGGAATGAATAGAAAAAAAAAATATCATAATAAATAGGTTACGGGTTAAAGTTTGGCTAAAATAAAGATAATTTATTTAGCCTCAACAGGGTTAACTAAGAATAAAAATAATCAAGAAAGGTAAATATTTGCCATGGTTTAATAAGGACGACCTACTTTCATTTCCCAACTCAAAAATCTTCCTATGATTTCGCCTCAAACCACACTCAAGGGAAGTTCTAGATTTTTAAAATAAACATAAGAACTAGACAATATAAACTGACCACACAATGCACTTGGGATCAACAAACACTATGATTTTAATAAACAATAAACAAGTATGAGTTTAAGAAAGGTAGTTATACAACCCATGAATGGTACTCAATTAAATTCGTCTTTCCTAAATCTCAATCTTTTTATAGAGAAAATCAAGTGTTTAGCCAACTTATTTACTGATTAAAAAAAAATCTAAGAAGTGTTCAGTTCAAAATATTACAACCATGGCAAAGAATCGAACAAGAAATTCATGGAAATACGTAAATAAAGTTATGTACCACTAGCATTTATAAAAAGAAATACTAACATTTGCTTATAAAATCATATATATTAAAACACATTTATCTACCAAACTGCCAGATGTATTTGGCTTTATTTTTGCTCCATTCATTTTGTTTTCCTCTTTTCTATTTCAGTTACCTTCAAAAACAAAGACAATAAATAATTAGTGCTTTATGCACTTGTTAGTTTAATGATAAAATATAATAAAAGTGAAAATACAATGAAAATATAATAAAAAAATGCAGATTTTTTTCCATTTTCAAGCTCAACAAAAACTTGCACAATTTTGAGCCAGCAATATGCACTTACCTAGGTTCCACCTATTTACATTCTTCTAATATCAAGATAACCAAGCAGCTGAGAAACCTATTTTTTTCCTTCAGCACCTTCTGGATTCAAAACTAGTATCTTCATCCACCATCATAGCCTTTCCTTTTCCTTTTCCTTTTCCTTCCACAATGGTCTTTGCTCTCTTTTTTGGAGGATTTCCCTATCGTATAGTTAGTACACCTGTGGAGGATGGATAAACTTCAGCAAAATCAACTACATCAATATTGCTCAGATCCGATAAATTACTGAAAAGATTACTGCTATGATTTGATATTGGATCCGATGGAATAGGTGTCAATGGTTGTGCCGGTGGGTTATCAGGTTGCTGCTGGACTGGTGTCTGAATGTCATCAGGGATATAGAACCTCCGGATTGGAGTGGTGGCTGGATCTGCCCAGTAAATAGGGCGGATAACTCGGCATTCCTGTGAAGCCCCATAATTCAGCCATCTGGCATTGCATATTTGAGAGAGTACATATCATGGATGAGTTATAAATGATGTCTTGCATCTGTATATGCTCCACTCTCTGAAATCCCCGATCAATTCTTTCTTCCAAATTCCCAAATCTCTGCTCCATATTATCAAAGCTCAAATTCATCCTTGCAAATTGCTCGGTTAATTGCCCAATTTGGTGTCTGACACCTCTTTCATGTTGGCTTCTAGCCTCCGGTAGTGGTTCCTATCCTCTTGGTCCTTCCACTCTCTCCATTCTATTCCGAAATGATTTATTAATGCATTTGGAATACCTGTAGACAACCATTCTTGGGCTAGGATAAACACCATTTATTTTACAAAGTAAAGTTATGGTAGATGGGTACCATAAACTTCTTACATTAGGATCATTTCTACAATTAATCATGTGGGTGTTTATGAATCTACTCACATTCAGAGGCTTTTTCATGCAAATAGCATAGAGCAATGCTACTCTTGGTATGTAGATGTCATACTGATGTGAGTTTGGGAGTAACCTACTGCCAATAAAAAAGCTCAAGATTGGCCTACCACAGTAGCCAATATTCTTGCGAAGAAGTTTACTTTTTTGCCTTTCAGAATTATATGCCCAATTTGCTCCTCTTGGACATAAATCTGACTACACCAAATCCCAATTTGGATTTTCTACAAAAATCATTGTTTCTCTGTCATCAACTTCTTCAAGAAAATAAAAACCATTAATAGTTTCAACAGAAAAATTAATGGGTCTTCCTCTCACCATGGAAATATTTGTGACTGAGTTGATGTTTTGCTAAAATTCCATCGCTCAAGGCAAAAATCACCAGGTGGGTGTGAAAATTCTTCCCACTGGTAATCTTGGATGAGTTGAGCTATGAGCTGATCCCAAATTCCATCTTCTTCATTAAAATGGATCCCTTTTTTAGCAATTGGTCTCCGGTTTGAGTTCCTTTGAAACCAGTTCTCGTCATCTCTTTTGTGAGGCATTTTAGTAGTATGGAAAGAAGAAGTGAGCTAAGGAAGGAAATAACTGTAAATGGAATTTTTGGATGGCTTAAACTATGAAGTTGGGTTACTTTGCTCCTTGCCTTAAAGAGTGGACCCCTACTTTTATTTATAGCAAAAAGACAATCACTAAAGATCTTGAGAAGTACAGATGCATCAAGCCTTTTTGCTAAATACATCCTGAATTTTCCTCTTTATTTTTTTTTTCTAAAAGAAATTATTAGTTGTACTATATTGTGTCTGATACCTTCAAAAATGTTACTTGAACCACTTCTGTGACATTCTTTGGTTAAGTCAAATCACGAGAATTGGTTAATTTCCAAAAGCTTATTATTGTTTCTAATCGTAACGATCCGACCGGTCATTTTGAGCATTTGCATTTCGCTCGCCAGTTCTCGGGCATGACTAGCCCCGTATGACGTATTATGACGTATGTAAGTCGTCGGTTTTAGTTTTCAGAATAATCGAAACAGATTTGGAAGAACAATTCTTAGTTGAAGCTTTAAATTTAAAAGGTTTGACAAAATTATGACTTTTTAGTATATGATCTCGGATTTGGATTTTTACGATTTAATTAGCTCCATTAGGTGATTTGGGACTTAGGAGCGTGATCAGAATGTGTTTTGGAGGTCCGGAGTAAATTTAGGCTTGAATTGGCGAAATTGGAATTTTGGCGTTTTCCGGTTGATAAGTGAGATTTTGATATAGGGGTCGGAATGGAATTCCGGAAGTTGGAGTAGGTTCGTTGTGTCATTTGTGACGTGTGTGCAAAATTTCAGGTCATTCGGATGAGGTTTGATAGACTTTTTGATCAAAAGCGGAATTCGAAAGTTTTAGAGTTCTTAGGCTTGAATCCGTGGTGATTTAATCTTTTAATGTTGTTTTGAATGTTCCGAAGGTTGGAACAAGTTTGAATGATGTTACGCGACTTGTTGGTATGTTTCGTCGAGGTCCCGAAGGCCTCGGGATGGTTTTGAGTGGTCGACGGAATGTTTAAAGCGGAGTTGTTGCTGCAGATTTTTGCACCTTCTGTTGTTTCCGCACCTACGGATTGGAGACCGCAGGTGCGATGTTCGCAGAAGCTGTGAGCAATCGCAGATGCGGGTTTTGCCGCAGGAGCGGAGGGATTTACCGCACCTGCGAGCCCGCAGGTGCGATGCCTGGGGCGCAGGTGCGGAAGCTGGTGATTTAAGTTAAAACCGCAGGTGCGGTCATTTTTTGCGCAGATGCGACCCCCGCAGATGCGTAATGGGCACCGCAAATGCGGAAGTGCTGGGCAGAATCTATTTAAAGGCCCTTCGCGATTTTCAGTCATTTTCTTCACCATTTTTGGTCGATTATAGAGCTCCAGGCTGTGATTTCAAGAGGGGATCAAGTGTTTTCATAGATAAGATACTTGGGCTTTATACCTTGTGTTTATGGTGATTATTTCATTGTTTAATCATGAAATTTGTGGGAAAATTGAAAAAAGAATTGGGAATTTAGGGCTTGGAACTTGAGACTTTGATTAGGGATGTGAGGGCCGTTTAGGGTCCGATTTTGATGTTCTTGATATGTATATACTCGTGCGAGGATAAGGATTCTATTGATGTGATTTTTATTGGATTCCGAGACATGGACCCGGGGGCCGGGTTTGGCCAATTTCGGGATTTTGAGTTTAATTTGATAATTTTCGCGTGAGCTTTGTCTCTTTGGCATGTATTGATGTTATGACTCTTATTTTGGATAGATTCGAGGTGATTTGAGGCCGAGTCGAGCGGCAAGGGCATCGCGGTGTTGGTGTTCGTCCGGATCGAGGTAAGTAATGATTGTAAATGTTGTCCTGAGGGTATGAAACCCCGAATTTCACATCGTTGTGCTACTTTGAGGTGACACACACGTTAGATGACGAGCGTGGGGTCGTGCACTGTTGGGGATTGTGACTTGGTCCGTCCCGTGCGGCTGTTAAGTCGCGTATTTGATTGAAAATTGTTTGATATCATTGTGTTCTGGAAAATATTACTATGTTTTGGGCTGAATGCCATATCTGGGCCTTGTGCCAACCGTTTGGACCCTTAGGGGCTTTCTGCTACTGTTTCCTCGCACTGTTTGATTTGAAAGCATATCCTCAGTCGTGATTTTTACCCGTTTACTTTTGATTCAGTTTTAATACTCTGTTTTAAATATATGAAAGTTGTTTGGGCTGAGCACCCTGTTCTATTGATAGCCCGAGAGGCTTGTGAGGCTGATGACTGAGAGGAACCGAGGGTCTGATTGTGAGGTTGATGAATGAGAGAGGCCGAGGGCCTGGTGTATATATATATATATATATATATATATATATATATATATATATATATATATATATATATATATATATATATATA